TAGGCAAGCACTGTACCACTGAGCTACAGCCCTAATCAAATTAATTTTATACTCAATTTTTAGTTTCCAAATCCTCAAGTGTTTATAGTTTTAGGAACTGTAAATAGTTGCAGCATATTATTCTGTGTAATTAAGACTTGGCTTCATTAAAGATAAAAAATTTAATGAGTACTTTATTCACATTTTCCTCCTTAATGGATTTTTAAAAGAATTTAAAAAGTGAACCAGATGGGTTGGCACACTCCTGTGATCCCAGTAACTCAGGAGGCTGAGGCAGGAGGATCACAAGCTCAAGGCCAGCCTCAGCAGTTTAGCAAGGCCCTAACGCAAGTTAGTGAGACCTGTCTCAATATCTCAAAAAATAAAAAGGGCTGGGGATGTRGCTTAGTGGCAAAGAACCCCTGGCTTCAATACCTGGTACCAAAAGAAAAAAATAATTACAAAAGTGATGCCCAAGTAAAACAAAACATCAAAAGAGTACAAGTGAAAAAACTCCCCCATAAGCCACCAATCCACCACTGTTTTTAGCATATAACTTTCCAGACATTTTCTGGGGGATGTGTGTCTGTATTTAGACATACCTATTTTTCTAGGTATAAAACTACCTATATGAGCATGTGCATGTTTTTAAAAGCATGAGCATGGCCATTTCATATACACTCTTCTGCCACTTGCTTGTGTCTCTTAATAGAACACTCTCATAAATCTCATACTTTTGGAGAGTGGATTGTTACTAATCCACAAGAACCTGGCTTGYAGTAGGTTCTCAAGTGATTTGTCTCATTTGTCTAGAGGAAGATAGAAACACCCTAAAGAAGAGGACATAATTTTTTGCCATCAGCCATCACAGTTCAGAATCAGCTCTAGTCCCTGAGTTGCCTCTACACATCTCTCAGGGCCCCTTCCCTCATCAACTCTCCAACCCTCTGGGTTTTTCATTAAACATTCTTGGCTAAGAGGGTTTACAATCTTTTGATCTCAAGGTAGTCCTTCTGATTGGGCTTTAAAAATAGTAATGCTCTTTGAGTAATTCTAGATTGATTCTGAAAACCTATGAGAGGAATATAACACTAAAGTTAGACAGAGCTTTTTTTTAATATATATTTTTTTAGTTGGACACAATATCTTTTATTTATTTTTATGTGGTGCTGAGGATCCAACCTAGGGCCTTGCATGTGCTAGTCGAGAGCTCTACAGCTGAGCCACAATCCCAGCCCCGAGACAAAGCTTTTTTTAAAAAATATTTATTTTTTAGTTGTAGTTGGACACAATACCTTTATTTTATTTATTTTTATGTGGTGCTGAGGATCAAACCCAGCGCCTCGCACGTGCTAGGCGAGTGCTCTACTGCTGAGCCACACCCCAGCCCCTTAGACAAAGCTTTATATATAAATATGTGCAAAAGATATATAAATATCTACAAAAAGAGTGCTACCTGAAAGCGGTCATAAAAAGAGAATGGAAATGTTCTTATTGTCCAAAGGAGAAATAGTCAATTAAATTTCTGTACATTCACTTGAAGAACTGCCAAGACATTAAACATGTATGACATACTTCTATTAGAACAGTAAATGAAAAAAGCAAATACATATGTGTACCATTTGATTAGAGTATGGGAAGAAATAAGGTAAAACTTTTGACTACAGTTGATTGAGCAATTAAAAATATATAAATGTATCCATCACACATAATTTCTAAATTCAATAATATATGCTTTGTTTTTTCATTATTAGGAAACAAACACGTAAGATCATCTTTCTTTCAACTTGAACACAGCATCTAATGAAATGAGCCTTCACAATTTAAAAGCTTCAGGACAAACTGTGTGTGGCCGTACACATTGGGTAGTCCCAAGTTTTAGGAGGCAAAGGCAAGAGGATCGCTTGAGCCTAGAAGTCGGGGGCCAGCCTGGGCAATACAGCGAATGAAACCTTTTTTTTTTTTTTTTTTTTTTAAAGCTTCATGACAATCATGGCACTGTTTCTTCAAAACAGCTGCCTTATACCACATTACCTGATTACAAAGGTACTGGCCCAGGCCAGGTCTAGCAGCAGCACTGAGATAGACAACAGGTTTTTTGTTATACAACACGTTGAATCCATCCACCACAAAGTCTTCATATCGGGAATGAATGGCAAGCCTACAGATCTTTGCAAGTCCTTCTCTTTCCTCTTCATGGAAATAAGCACAACCATTTTCATACCTATTAAGAGACACCCATATATTAATGTACTTCTCTTTCTGATTAATTCTGACTATATGTTAATCTTATAATCATGGAAGCAATTATTTTCTGAAGTCAGATAATGTCATCTAGGTCAGGCAGAGAGGATAAGAATGTGAAACACTATAATCTTAGACAGTTGACAACTCACTGTAACTGAAGCATATATAGGAGAGCAGTAACAACCCTTCATCTGTACGTAAGTCCAGAGAGAGGAGAAACTATGGAAAACAAATAGAAATTTGGAGTCTCCCACATAGAAAAAGCCTAAAGAGGGGCTGGGGCTGTAGCTCAGTGGTAGAGCACTTGCCTTCCACCTGTGAGGATATATACATACACACACACACACACACACACACCCTGAAAAACATGGTTCTGGCTTATTCTACAAGGCGGCCAGCTGGTTGTTAGCACAGATTTAGCCCTAAAACATCCAGAATAAATAAAACTGCCAAAAATGTTGGTTAGGCTAACTTTTTCTTTTATTATAATCTGCTTGGGGCTTTTCATTTTCAATATTCTAGAGAAGGAAGAAAAATGTGAATAAAAATATTTCATCCAGATCATTGTTCTTCTATCTCTAGGTACAAACTAGGAAAATAAATAACTAGAAATAAATAATTGTTGACACTATCAAACATTTATGTGCTTATGTTCTCAGTTCTTTACATATATTAATCCATTAGCTCATCCTCACAATAATTCCATGACAGCTATTAATGTTATCTACACTTAGCAGACAATGAAGCTGAGGCATGGAGAGAGGAAGCAACCTTTCCAAGAGAGGCCCAGGGTAGAGCTCCAGAAGAAAGCTCACTCACATATGACTCAGAAATAACTTTACAGAAACTAAAAACTCTTAATAATGTCTTTACCTGAAAATTCTGCATAGCCACAAGGTAGTATCTGAAAGTATCCTAGTTGTAAGTTTTCTCAGCTTCTCTTTGTCTAGAGTTGAAATAAAAGCTCCCAGACTATGCCCCAACAAAGCCATGTGACCTTGTTCTCCTATATTCTGGATTCTGTTAATAAAATTAGATTAAACAAGTATTAGAGTCAAAGCACAAAAACAAAATTAGAATTTATTTATTTATTTTWAAAAAATATTTATTTATTTTTTAGTTATTGGCGGACACAACATTTTTTTTTTGTTTGTATGTGGTGCTGAGGATCGAACCCGGGCCGCACGCATGCCAGGCGAGCACGCTACCGCTTGAGCTACATCCCCAGCCCCCAAAATTAGAATTTAGAGAAATCTGTTAGACTTGAAATCCACATAATGTCCTAGAAGGCAGAAGTTCAGAAAAGTCAATGCATGTATGGTATTGCAAGTTTGGAGGGAAAAATATTTTAAAAATGAGTTCTAAGAAATAAATATCCCTCTTTTTATTGAGCAGGTACAAACTGTTTTTGAGTAATTTACTTTTATAGTATTTTAAAAATTAAATATCAACCTTAAGAACTACAGGAGGGGCTAGGGATGTAGCTCAATAATAGAGTTTTTGTCTATTAAGCACAAGGCCCTGGATTCCATTCCCCAAAATCGGGGAAAAGAAGAACTACAGAGGATAGTACTAAGATAAAATGAATGGAAAACATTTTAAAAAGAATTGTTAAAGAACAATTTCTTGCATTAAACAGCTATTGAAAATAGTACAGTAGATCCAAGGGGAACTAGGTTTGTTTTGTTTTACATGTAACTAAAATAGATGGGTTAATTTCCCTTATAAAGAATAAACTAGGGGGTTGTGGTTGTGGCTCAGTGGTAGAGCACTTGCCTGGCATGTGTGAGGCACTGGGTTTGATCCCCAGCACCACATAAACAAACTTAAACAAAATAAAGGTATTGTGTCCGGGGCTGGGATTGTGGCTCAGCGGTAGATCGCTTGCCTCGCACACGTGGGACCCGGGTTCGATCCTCAGCACCACATAAAAATAAAGGCATTGTGTTGTGTCCATCTACACCTAAAAAATAAATATTAAAAAAAAAAGGTATTGAGTCCAACTAAAAAGAAAAAGAACAACTAGGGCTGGGGACATAGCTCAGTTGGTATAGTGCTTGCCTCGCATGCACAATTATAATTGTTAACTGTAGGAACTGGGGTCGTGGCTCAGCGGTAGAATGCTTGTTTAGCACAAGTGAGGCCATGGGTTCGATCTCAGCACCACATAAAAATAAAATAAAGGTATTGTGTCCAACTACAACTAAATTAAAATATTAAAAAAACCCTGTTAACTGTAAACATAAGAAAAAGATAAAGAACCAAATAGGATCGTGGACAAAGGGAAATAAAATATGTGTTAAAACATAAAGATATTTAACCTGGTTCCTTAAAAAAAAAGTAAATTTAAATTATGCTGAAATATCTCACATCAGATTTCTCTTGTCAAAAACATCACTTAACAAAAGATCCTTAAATGTGACAATATCCTTGTAGGCAGAGGTGTGAGAAAAGAAGTATTCTCATACATTGCAGGTAGGACAATGAACTGGCTCAACTCTAAGAAAAAAAAACTTTGGCACTACCTATTATAGTTCCTAAAGCACATCTGACCTAGCAGTCCCATTTCTCAGACCCCTCCAAACACTTTAGCCTCTAGAACTAATGACAAATATCCAAAGTTACTGGCTGCAACATTTGTTCCAGTAAAACATGAGGAGGAGRCTAGTTAAAGAAAACACTTCATCCAAACTAAAGAGCTCTTAACAAAAAGAAACCTCCTTAATTACGACACTAGAAGACAAAGCAGAAAAGAGCAAGGTACAGAACAAGTACATGGTCTTTATATACCAKAAAGGGTGGGCAGGGCCACTCTATAACATAGCTATGGAAGAAGACGTAAGAAACCAGTAATTGTCTCTCTCTAGGGAAGACAACAGGTAGGGAGGCAGAAATATGAAGGAAAACTGTCTTGGCACACTCATTTTTACCTTCTGATTTTTGAACAAGGAGAATGTATTACTTATTACAAAAAAATTTAAGAAGTGAAAGACAAAGTGAAGCTAAATAGATGAATAAATAAAACAAATGGGCAATATCCAGACAATGTAGACCAATATTTTCAGCTGCAGTAACTCTTAGGAAGAAGAGGGATAAAAGCACACAGCATTTATTCTTCAGTCCTACTGGTCCCTTTTGTAAGACCCCAAACCATAAAAACTACAGTATCTAATTTTATTAAATGCCTCCTTTTTACAAAATATATTACCCAAAAGTTTTTTATTTTAAAAGAGAAAATGAACATTATTTGAATATTACATGTAACTCAATGAAAAATAATTTCTTATTTGAGCCACTTGTCAGACTGTGATCACTACAGAAATCAAGAACACACAGACTTTCAAAGGGAAGCTCCCAATCATTCTCCATTACCGGGTACTCTGGGGCTCCTCATCTTCATCTCCGTGCATCAGATTCTGAACTAACTGGAGGATGCTCACCATATCTTGTCCACTGCAGAATAAAAAGAACTGATGGGCTGGTGGGAAGAGCGCGCGCGCGCGCGCGCGCACACACACACACACACACACACACACACACACCAAGTCTTTCTCTCATTCACACCAGCTTTGATCATTTTTTTTCTTATTGGGAAGCTATAAGAGAAATAATATGCTTTGATATGCAGTTCATACTTTCTAAAAAATAAACCTCAGGTTATAAACTGATTTCCAATTATTACCTTACTTGTGATTAACTCTTTATTTAAATATGAGTTTGATTTTTAAGAATTTGATCAGTCTTGCTCTGGCAATACTGACTGGTTCATTTGAATCCTGGAGTAGAGATAGAATAGTTAATGAACATGTTAGAAGAGCCAAAAGTCCTTCTAAGATGCTAGGAGGTCCCAAAAGCAGCAAGAACACACTAACAAAAAGACCCTTGGATTACCAAGCCACAAAGACCATTGGATTACTTAGTTTTCTTTCAAGTAGCAGGCTAGTCCACTTGGAYTGGCAGCCTTAAATATGTAATGCACACATCATTTACCACCACCTCTTCCCCAAGTTGGGAAACTTGAGATCTGCTTCGAGTGAGAATAGATTTACTGCCATCTAAGCAATGACAGCAACTGTTCATTACATGAGGGGTGGAAACAATACAAACAGCTAAAGTCATAAGCAATTTCAAGGCAATGTGTGATGCACAGACATAAAAGTACTATTTCTATTAATTAGAATATGACTGATAAAATTTTTCTCTTTCAAAAAAGCAGCACTATCAAAACAATGCTTAAAACTCCACCCTCCCCAGGGTGCTCACCCTCTAGTCCTCTGATGGGGAAGGAAACTTGAGGCCCACGGAGGTTAGCCTTGTGACCTTGAGTAACCTATCCCCACTGGACAAGCCCTTTCATTACAGAATAGTGAGGACACAGTCGACAGTGCTGGTAAAGCACATGACACTATGTCTGCCATCTTGCTTGTCTCAAAGATGATGTCATTGTTACCAAGTGTGAATACTCCTGACTCATGGTGTTAATGTGCTGTCATTCTGAGAATTACAGATGTCCTTGGGAGTATCTCCTCTAAGGAAACTTCTGTGGAATCAGGAGAACAGACAAAACTTAAACCTTTTTATTCCCTTTAGGCCTGGAACAAAGAGACTCACTGGATTTGCTTCCTATTCTCCTTCCTGAGTTGTAGAAAGCTCTTCATGCCTAGAGATTTTAAAAATCTGCACAATCTAAGCTACGGTAGGAGTGCCTATTTTAAAATATTAGCATCCGGGTATGTTAGATATGACATTTACTGGCACACTGTGAGCCTTCCTCTATGCTTTTCTTTTGCAATCTTGTACAATTTACATTCAGGTTAAGGAACAATTTAAGGGAGTTGTACTGTTGACCTACCTGGAGTTTCCTGGTTATAAAAAAAAAATAAATTTGTCTCAGGGAAGTTGGGCTGGGACTTTTAATTCTAGACTAACTAGTACCTTTTGAAAACTGAAGTCAGCTACTTATTTTTCTGATTTTTTTTTCCRCCACTAGTTCAAGCCACAAAGACTTGATAGAGTTACTTCAGTTGTGAAGAACTAAATCACTCTGCTAATCACTGATTAAAGTTGACCTTTTCCTTTCATTTAGGATATTATAAGAATGACAAATCTTAGCAAATTAAAATATCTCTAAAAATAAAATTCAGTCCACTGAATAGATCATTTCTATTTTAGTTTTTAAGAATGAACTAAGTATGATACTTCAGTTATAATTACAAATTCATGAATGGCTCTGAGTCATGAGGTTGTATTAAGATCTGAAAGAAGCTGGTAAGCTCAGCATTATATCTAACCATCCAATGGCATTTCAGTTTTTTAATGTTATACTGCATATAAATCCCTTTAAATTCTAAGCTGGGCACAATGGCATACACCTGTAATCCCAGCAGCTTAGGAGGCTGAGGCAAGATGACCACAAGTTCAAAGCCAGCCTCAGTAACTTAGTCTTAAGCAACTCAGCCTTAAGACCCTATCGGTGAGATCCTATCTTCAAATAAAATACAGAAAAGGGCTGGAGATATGGCTCAGTGGTTAAGTGCCCTGGGTTCAATTGACACCAAAAAAAAAATCAAACAAATAAGTAAGTAAAATTTTAAAAGGGCTGGAGATGTAGCCCGGTGGTAGAGCACCCCTGGGCTCAATCTCCAGTACTGCAGGACATTTTTTTTCCCCCTCCTTTGGGCTCACTAAAATTGTAGGACTAATGATTTAGCCCAATGGTAGAGCACTTAGCTAGTATGCACAAGGCYTGGAGTTCAATCCCCAGCACCATGAAGGGAAAAGAAAAAACCTAGACACAAACTAAAATTGTCAAACTGTAATTAAACAATGGAAAATTTGGGTAAGAAACATTTACACCCTATCTAAAAGTACTAAACTTTATTTCCACCTACCTTCCCTGGAGTGGCCCTGGAATATCCTCTGACATGAGCTTCTTCCCATTTTCATCTTCTACTCTTCTACTTTAAAGGAAAGAAAAAAATGTTTTATCATACCAAATTTTTAACATTTGAACATGCAGAATGGCCATTTAACCAGAATCTCTTCATAAATGATGTAGGATTTGAAACACAATTATCACATCTTTCTAGGTCCCAGTTTGGAGTACAGTTTGAGTTTCAGGAAAAGAACATGACCCTCCCACCACCACCAGCAACAAAACATTTCAGAACCCATTTCCTTGTAGTGATGCCCTCTCTGACCTGAATCTACAGTAAGAAGTATTTAGAGACTCAAATCAATGTATCATCACCCTAAAACTCTTAAAAGACAAAACTGAAAATTATGCCCTCCCCCGMAAAGTCCTTTAATTACAAAGCAACTTCAACCCAAGACAAATATCAATTTTAAAGTCAGCAGAAGCTATGTGTGGGATTCTGGAGTTAAGAGGTGTTTTTAACATAAGGAAACCAAAGCCACCAGAAAACAGGTTGGACATGCCAAGCAGGGTGGCCTCTGTCCTGCACACACTCACCTCTGACTCTCCTCCAGCATCTTCATGGCCTCCTTCAAGTTCCTCCCCATTTCAGCTAATGTAGGGTCTGCTATCTGGGAAACAAACCAAGAAAATTAGAGATTAACACTCCTCTATCAGTTCTGTCATAATTCACCCAGAAAAATCAAATGCAAGTCCACTTTCTTCTGGCTTTCTTATAAAATTTGTAAATCTATTATACTGTACATGTAAACTTCCAATAATACTTATATGGTTCCATGTCAGTATGCTCACTTCATTATTCTTAGTGGTTATACCCGATTCCATGCTCTGGATGTACCATGGTTGATTTAACTAGTTCCAAATTAATGGACTCCAAGGTTATTCCAGTTTTTCACTAAGTCCATAAGAAGTATGTATGGTGTGCTACTTGTTTTATTGCTGTAATAGGCTGAAAATGCTTACCTCCCCTGACTTCCCTAAGAGCCTAACACCTGGGACCTGTAATGTTATTTTATACAGCAGTCTTTGTAGATGTTATGAATAAGGATCTAAATAAATACAGTCACACGTATCCCTCTAAAGGAGCAGGCAGAGGGAGACTATTCACAAACAGGGTCATATGAAGACATTAGAAATCTGAAGATGTTGGCTTTGAAAATTGGAATGATATGGCCATGAGCTGAGGAATACCAGCAAATGTCATAAGCTGGACAGGCAAAGGAAGACCTCTCCCTCTGCGTGCAGCCTGCCCAGTCGTGATCACAGCCCAGGGACAAGAATTGCAAACTCTTCTTTCTCTTTTGAGATGTGTTCTTGCTATGTTACCCCAGGCTGACCTCAAACTCCTATACTCAAGTAATTTTCCTGCTTCTGCCTTCAGGGTAGCTGGGAAACAGACAAGCACCACCATGCCTGGCTTCATTTCAGTTGTTTTAAACCGCAGTTTGTGATAAGTTCTTAAAGCAGCCGTAGGAAACTAATACACCCATAAGTCTAGTCTGCAAGAGCTTCCTTAACAGAGCATGTTTCTGGAGGAAGCTGCAGCAGTGATGGTATCCAGAGGGTGAATCAAGTTCTCTCTTTTTCCTTTCTTCTCAATCTCCACAGCCTAGTGCCTTGGATCACTATGTAATGTGAATTGTGCTATAAAAAATTGCAGAAACTCTCTTTTCCTTTCTCACCAAGTGTCTGCTTGAAGGAGGATCTAGATTTCTGTTTCTATTCACATTGCTTATTGTACCTGGTAATATCTTCTACAGCACAGGTGTGCAGTAAAGTGTGTGCTCCATTTAGTTTTATATTACCTCTTCATATTTGTTCAAGAAATTCTAATAAGTTTACCAATATAAGAATCAGAAAATGTCAAATTCTGGAAGGGACTTTAGGGGGGATCTTGGGGAGAATGGGTTGGATAAAAAGTTGGGGCTTCTACAGGAGGCATCACAATACTAGACCTTAAATTACACCACAGAACTAGAATAACAAAAATAGCACTGTATTGGCACCAAAACAGACATGAAGACCAACGGTAGAGAATAGAGACAAACCCACTTAAATGTAGTTATCTCATACTAGACAACAGCACCAATAAACACATGGAAGAAAAGATAGCCTCTTCAACAAATTGAGCTGGGAAAACTGGAAATCCACATGTACTAAAATGAAATCAGACCCCTATTTCTCACCCTGCACAAAACTCAACTCTAAGCAGATCAAGACCGGAGAACCTGCACCTACTAAAAGAAAAAGCAGGCTCAAATCTCCACCATGTTGGCTTAAGAACTGAATTCCTCAACAAAACTTTTAAAGTGCAAGAAGTAAAATCAAGAATCAATTTTCAAACTAAAAAACTTCTTCACAGCAAACAATCAAGAACATGAAGAGAGAAAATCTCTGGACAGGCAAAGGAAGACCTCTGACATGAATGGGAGAAAATCTCTGCCACCTGCACCTCAGATAGAGGATTAACCTCCAGGATATATAAAGAACTCAAGAAACTTAAAAAGACAAATAACCCAATGAATAAATGGGCAAAGGAACTGAACAGAGATATTTCACAGAAAAAGAAATATGAATGGTCAACAAATATAGGAAAAAATGTTTAACATCAATAGCAATTTGAGAAATGTGAATTAAAACTACAATGAGATTTCATCTCACTCCAGTCAGAATGGCAATTATCAAAAATACAAGTAACAGGGCTGGGGTTGTGGCTCAGCGGTAGAGCACTTGCGTAGCACATTCGAGGCCCTGGGTTTGATCCTCAGCACCACATAAAAATAAATAAATGAAGATATCGTGTCCAATTAAAAAAATAAATATTTTTWAAAAAATACAGCTCAGTTGGTAGAGTGCTTGCCTTGCATGCACAAGGCCCTGGGCTCAATCCCTAGCACCACAAAGAGAAAGAAAAAAAATACAAGTAACAATAAATGTTAAGCGAGGACATGGGGAAAAAGGTGGGGAAACACACATACATTGCTGCCGGACTGGAAAGCAGTACTGAGAGTCCTTAGAAAACTGGGAATGGAACCACTATTTTACCCAGTTATCCCACTCCTTGGCACATATTCAAGGGACTTAAAATCAGTGTACTAGAGTGACATCAATGTTCACAGCAACTCAGTTCACAATGGAACCAATCTTAGGTGCCCTTCAATAGAGGAATGGATAAAGAAAATGTGGTACATATACACAATGGAATATTACTCAGGCATAAAGAATGAAATTGTGGCCTTTGCTGGTAAATGGATGGAAATGGAGACTATCATGTTAAGTGAAATAAGCCAGTTTAAAAAAAAACCAAAGACCGAATGTTCTCTCTGATATGTGGATGCTGACTCTCAAAAGGKGGGGGGGGGGAGGAGTGGAGGTTCACTAGGTTGGACAGGTGGGAATGGGGGAAGGGATGGGAATGGGAAAGACAGTAGAATGAATTGGAAATAACTTTCTTCTGTTCAAATATGAATACATGACCAGTGTAACTCCACATCAAGAACCACGAGAATGGAAAGTATGTACGTACGATATAAATACATTCTATTGGCATGTATAACTGAAAACAACAACAAAAGTTGGAGCTTCCAGCTCTCTAACAACCATTAATCTAATCAGCTTTGTTTTATATATAGGGTTCTGAATAAAGTTTCATTTCTAAAAACTCTTATTAAGAAGAAAAATGTATAACATAAAAAATCTCTGATTCTGGCCTAACATTTTAGAGGTTAGAAATTAATAGAGTGGTGAAGTGATTTATCAGAGGTCATGGAGCTAATAAATGACAGCACAGTGCTAGAGCCCTGAGTCCCTCGGTCCTGACTCCTATTCCCAGCCTCTATTACATCACACTGACTCCACAAGGGCTTACAAAATAATCACAGAGCCACATCTATTCTGATTTTTAAACAAATCAGAAAAATCATTTTCAAATAGATTTTTAATAAARTCCATAACTTAAATGTAACCATGAGACAGGTTGGAAAGCAATCAAAAGTATCTCAGTGCTCCGATTATGAAGAGGAGGAACAGACAATGGTCAAGAGAACACATCTTAACTCCTAAGTCTACTGTTATGTTCTCCATTATCCTCCTCTCTTGTGACTCCAATCTGTGTCCCCTACCTTCTGGCCCAGTGAAAAGATGAACAGTTTTGCTTGGCTGATTGTTCAGACCTCCATACCTCATGCTTCTAACACTTGCCTCAGCTGAACATCCCTGGGCCTTTTATCTTCCTCTAGCTACCTATTCAATCACAATCCAGTACTGCACTTCCAAGAAACCCCCTGTGGGTAGAAGCACTCACTCTTTAACATCCCCTCTAATGATACTGATGAAGTTTTTCTTTAAATCAAATGTGAAACCTCTTTTCCTGACAAAAATGATTATAGTAACAATGGAACAGAACCCTTGAAATTAGGGCATTCTGATATGCAACTGCCATTTATTCTCATGATTCCTTATATCCCTTTACTGTGAATTGTTTTAGGGATGTTCTTTCCAGCACAGATACATTCCCCAAGTAGACCCCGAGGACTTTTCTTTTTCTCTTTTTCTCTCTCAGTGCTGGGAACTGAACCCAGGGCCTGTGCATGCTAGGCAAGTGCTCCACCACTGAGCTATATAGCCCCAGCCCTTTTAATTTAATTTATTATCATTATTTTTTTGTGTGGTGCTGAGGATTGAACCCAGGGCCTTGTGCATATGAGGCAAGCACTCTACCAACTGAGCTACATCCCTAGTCCTTAATTTTATATTTGAGACAAGGTCTTGCTGAGTTGCCCAGGTTGGCTTCAAACTTGCAATCCTCCTGTCTCAGACTCCTGAGCTGCTGGGATTACAGGCATGTGCCATCACATACCAGCTTAGATCAAGAGCTTCTTCTTCTTCTTTTTTTTTTTTTTTTTTTAAGAGAGGGGGGGGGGGGGAGGGAGGGAAGGAGGGAGGGAAGAAAAGAGAGGGGGAGAGAGAGAGAGAGGGAGGGAGGGAGGGAGGGAGGGAGAGAGAGAGGGAGGGAGGGAGAGAGAGAGGGAGGGAGAGGGAGAGAGAGAGGGAGAGGGGGACACAGAGAGAATTTTTTAATATTTATTTTTTCAGTTTTTGGTGGACACAACCACCCCATTTTTATGTGGTGCTGAGGATTGAACCCAGTGCTTCTTGAAAACAAGGATTCACACTCCCACAAATTTTGACTTCTTTTATAGGACCAAAGGTCCAAAGTTTGCTCTACTCTCAGCACTGGATAGCAACATACTATCTCTTTAACACAGCTAAATTTTCCTATAGAATTTGAACAAATTTTGCAGTTAAGAACAGAAAAAAGATGACATTTAAAAGCCACTGTATATAAACAYTTGAATCTATAAACGTTAGAATCACAGGCAATGACAAGATGCTCACACTGAGAAAGGCAAAAGGATCACCTCACTTCTGAGCCCCCCTCATTAGCACACATTCAAACTTCTCCCTCCTACTTGCTTTAGTGGGGTGAGCCAAGGGTGGGAATGGATGGATAGGGAAAGCAGTGTTTATAATTATAATGGAGTAAATTAAATATAAATACAACTCCCAAGCTGTATTCATATTTAATTTACGTGCTTGTTGCATTAATTGG